CCCCTCCCCCCTCCTGTCCCTGCCCCTGTCCCTCTCCCTCTCCTCTCTCTCTCTCTCCCACAGGGGGCCCCAGGAGATGCCGGCATGTCCATCATCGGCCCCCGTGGCCCCCCTGTAAGTGGTTTTTGCTCTTCTTCAGGGTGGGGGGGCTGGGCTAGCTAATGGCAAGGGTTTGGGTGGAGGGGAGCGAGTCCTGGCTGTGCCTCTGGGCCTGGCGGCCACCACCTATAATATGGTCAACCAGGGCAGGCCTGCCTAAATATACCGAAATTATAGCTTCTCGGGAGGGTTCATGAGGACCACCCTTTGGCCAGGAAGCCAGCAGCTGCGAGGTGGCCCTGCTGTTTACAGGCAGGGAGAAAGTACTCGCCCCTCCCCAGATGGGCTGCTCCAGCTTTCCAGGGGACAAGCCTTGTTTCCAGAAGCCCCTGGAGCAGGTACCCAGCACCCAGATCTGCTGCCCCAAGCACACGCTCCTGGTCTCGGCAGAGGCCTGACCCACCACTCGTCCTCAAAGGCCTCGTTCTTAGTGCCTCTACCCAGTGGCCCAGGGCTCGGAGAAATCAGAAGCTTCCCCTCCGATATGTTTCCTTAGGGACCAAAAGGGGACCTGGGTGACGATGTGGGAAGATACTGTGACTATGGGAAGGAGAGCCCAAACCACGGGGCATCAGGACAATCACCAAATGTCAGGGTAGAAAGGACCTCAGCGATGGTCTAGCACAGCCCCCTCAGAAGGGGAAACTGAGGTCCAGCAAGGGGCCAGGGGCCCACACATAGAGGCTGGGACAGGATTAGAACCCAGGACCCTTGGCACCAAGAGCTTCCCCCATAAATCAGGCCACCATCTCCATGCTCTACTGTGCACTTTTCCTGTCCTGCCTGCACAGTGAGAGGGAGAGGAAAGCAGAGGGCTAGCCTCTGGGAGTCTGAGGCTAGCCCAGTGGAGATGTGGAGTCCAGCCTGCCCATTCCCCTGCCTTCACCAGAGGGAGCCAGTGCAAGCGGGAACATCTCCTACCCATAGTCTAGGGAGCGGGCTCAGAGAGCCGTTCGCTAAATCCCATCCACAGGAGGGGCTGTGCCGAGAGGGAGGAGCTGAAGCTCCGCCGTTCAGGGCTGCTTGGAGGCGGGGGACGGGTCAGGGTGGGGAGCCAAAGGGCAGAGCTGGGGAGCAGGGCTGGCAGACTGGTCGGGGGCCGAGGCTGGAGGCAGGGTTGAAAGGGTCCCGGGCTGCAGAGTCCTGGCCTCCTGGGCAAGATTCCCTCTGGCTCTGACCCCAGCGACTATGTTATGGATTGACGCATGGCACTGAAGTTTGGGCAGGCAGCGTCCTAAGACCGCTACACGCTGTAACTCACCTAATCCTCACAAGAAGCCCACCGGGAGGTACTATTAGCCCCTCCATTTCATGGGTGAGAAAAGCCGGGCACAGAGAGGCCGAGTGACTTGCCCAGGATCATTCACTCGACTGTGGCCACGTGGGGATTCAGGTGCTCAGCCCGGGCCGCATGGCTCAGAGTCTACACTCTGCACCCCACTGCTCAGCAGACCGCCAGGCCGCGGGGTTACTGGCATCCGGGCCTCTGGGCTCATGTGGCCACTGCTCCGATGGGCCGTAAGCTTCATGAGAGGAACCGCCATGTGCATGTCCTGAGCCCAGCCGCTCCTGGCAAGGTCACCGAGAAAGGTCACCGAGAAAGCCAGTCCCCAGATTCTAACAGCCAGGACCAAGCCGGGACGGGCCTGTTGGGTGGATAGAAGAGTAACAGAATACAGGCCCTACCCCTTGGCCACCACCTCGGCCTGCCTCCCAGTCTGACCACAGACCCCATTGTGTCGATCACGGCGGTCCTCCAATACCCTTTTGGCAATACCGTGCGAACGAGCTACCTAAAAGTTGTTGAAAAGGCCCCCTTTTGGGGGACATGCTCGGGGGAAGGGGTCTGCCTCAGCTCCCCTGGCTTCTGCCTCAGTGTGCATCATGAGGAACCGTACCTCCTGCATGGGATTTGACTCCAATGGCAAAAAGTACCTTCTATCCAGGTAATAGTGATAAATTCCATCCCCTGGGCACCTATCCTGTCCTAGGGCCTATGCTGAGAGCCCACCTATGCCCAGGCCTCTATCGGTCCTCCCAACAAAGCTGTGGGGCAGGCCCGCCAGCCCATCTCCCAGAGAAGGAGACTGAGAGTTTCATAACTCACCTGAGGCCACTCAGCAGGTCAGTGCTAGAGCTTGGGCTGGTCCAGCTTCGCCTCATTCCAAAGCCAACATTCTCGCCGCAATTCTGCCCTCCCTGTTTCAAGCTCTACCCTTTAAAAGGGCTATTTACCTTCCGGAGAAGAAACGGTTCTCCGTGTGGGTGCAGCCTTGGTGGTAGGAGAAGGATTATGGTACCAGGAGGCTTAACGAAGCCCAGCCTCCTTCTACTTTGGACTGTGGGGGTGACCATCACCCCAGTGACTGGGGCCTCCCCCGCTGAGTCCTCACTAGAGACCACTAGAGACCAGGGCAACCACCTCAACTCCTCCCAGGAAGCCACGCAGAGCTGGTGAGCGCAGGGAGTAGGGGAAGACAAAGGGGGTGTTTGTCATTAAGGGGGAGAGGCCAAGTGGGCAAGCCTTCTGTGGCCGAGGATTATGGGGAACGATATACGGAGGAGGCACCTGCCTTGGGGTGTGGGCAGACAGAGAAGGCTTCCAAGAAGGAGGGGTAACTAAACTGTGATCAAAGAAGAGCAGAGGTTCCCAGGTTGTGAGGCTGGGGAGGAGCCCCCGCGGTAAGACGGGTTCTTATGAACTACTGGAGAAACAGGGAAAGTGCGCTGCGTAGCAAAGCCAGGCCGAGGCTAGTGAGGTGAGCAAGGGCCCAGTCGAGAAGGACCTGGACAGGGTCTTCAGGAGTCGGGACTCTATCCTGAGGGCAGTGGAGAGCCTTGGTGTGTGTTCAGCTGAGGATGGACATGCTCAGATTTGCAGTTTAAAAAGATCTATCCCTCCCTGCCCTGGCATGGAGCGTGTTTAGAAGCGGCTACAGGTGGGGGACTGGCTGGTAGGCGCTTGCAGTAATCAAAGGCTGGACTGGTGGGACCTTTGGAGGAGGAATTGACCAATTTACTGATGATAAAAGTGGGGATTGAGAAAGAAGGAGGAGTTCAAGATGACTCCACCTTTCTGACTTGAGTAACCAAGTAGATGGTGGTACCCTTCTCCAAATCGGGGAGCGGATTTTGCCGGGGAAGATGAGTTTAACCAGAACATGATGAACTTGAGATGTCCTTATAATGTCCAAAGGGAGATGTTTGGCCCCCCATTTGCTGCTGGAAGTCAGAGTTGGAGTTGGCTCACCCGGCTCACGAGAGCAGATCATGCACACCCCCTCCCAACTCTGTGTTCAGTGACATCACATTGGTAGCTTAAAATCAGCTGTGGTGGGAGGTTTATTTACACCACAGGGATTAGCAGATCCTATACAAAGCAGGGCTCTTCTCTCCCACTCTCTGTCACCTTAGCCAACGATTACACACTGACCAACACGGGGGTCTTGTTTGAAAGACAGTCAGCACTGACTTGGAGTGGGAGGTGGGCTCTGGGCAGATATGGGACTGACCCTCATTCAGGGGTCAGAGAGAAGGGAAGGGAGAGTTAGCCTTCTGTCTGTCTATGTGGCTTTACCCCACACGAATTACAGGTAGGAGTAGACATCAGGGTCCACTTCCAAAAAGCAGGGATCCACTTGGCTCCCTTTCCACCCTGGCCTTGAATTAAGGGAAGAGATTTGGGAGAGCAATGTAAAGCTTATCCCCCTTGTTCTTACATGGAAGGACATAGTATTAATGCATTATTAATCTATGAATAAATCTATAATCCATAATTTTAATATGATCCCAATCCCAGTGAAATGAATAATATTCATTTCATTTGGAAGAAAAAAGTAAGCTTTCATAAGGATGTCAGGAAATTTCTGAAAAATAGAGTAAGGGGAGTAGGGGAGGACAGGACTCGTTGTTCTACTCGATATCCAATGTATTATAAAAACAGAGCAGTTAAATAGGACAGAATGGGAAGGCCAGAAATAAAGCCAAACGCATCTGGGAAGTTAGTCCTCAGTAAAGGTTTCATTTCACAGTAGGAAGAGGAAAATAGATTGTTTAAGAGATGATGCTGAGACAGGGGACAAGCCATTTACCAAAAGGTAAAACCAAAAAAAAAAAAAGACTGAATCTGTACCTCACTTGTTATATCAGAATAAATACCAAATGGATAAAATACTTAGATGTAAAGCATGAAACCATAAAATACGAGGACAAAGCGTGAGCAGACATTTATGAAGTCCTCACTGGGAGGTCCCCTGGAAACATGGCATAAAACCCAGGAGCCATAGGAGAAGATTGATAAGTGTGTCCACCTGAATGCAAAACTTCCATCGGGCAGGAAATACAACATGAAAAAGACAAATGCCAAATTGGGAGGACTATTGGCGATGCACGTGACCCTCAAAGAGTTACCGACCTTGACAAAGAGCTGTCCTCGGGCCAATGGGAAACAAACAAGCGAGGGGAAATTTTTGGTAAGGAACACAAACAGGCAGTTCACGAGTAAATGACCGGCCAATAAACACTGCAAGAGAGGTCCAACTTCAGCGTGTAACTGAAGAGACGAAATTAAAATCCAGTTCCAGGCCTCCCCGAGTGCCTTACCCAGCCCAGCATCTCCAGGAAGTAGAGTCCCAGTTTCCATTTGGTCAGTGACAACATTCTTCCCAAAATCCCGAAAAAGCCTTGGTTAGCCCCGGATTTGGCTCTGAGTTGGGGAGATGCATCCTGCTCCCGGGCAGGCTCTGTAATTAGCAAACCATGTGCTTATCCCTACCGTGTAAACATTATCCTGAGCGGGACATGAAGATGTTTCTTGGAATCCTTTCCTCCTGACCTTTGTCCTCGGGCCTCTCAGCATTCGGAGTAGTTGAAAGTTTACACTGCGAGGTTCCAGAGGCCACATCGCAGGGTTTCCGGGTTTTCTCCTTAGTGCTATTCTTAGCATCACTTACCCTTGAGAGAGAGTAAGTGAGCCCGGGGCTCTCCGACATTTGAGTGGCATGTCCTCCCTCCTGCCCTTGGGCTGCCTGCCACAAACCCATCCCGACCCCGTAGGACACTGCAGGTCTGTCCCCACTTGACTGACGCTCCCACCCTGATGGCAGGGTCCCCGTCCCACTCAGCCGTGTCCGAGCAGAAGCCTCTGGGCACTCCTGTCCATGGCTTCAAGGAAGACCCAAGCAGCCTGGTTCCCGCTTCACAGCAGATGGATGTGGAGAAATCTCCCTCCCGACGGGGTCTGATTCGGAAACTGCCACTTGGCAGGGCCCATCGTCCATGGCTCCGAAGGCTTTATTCTGGCGCTCCTTGGTTCGGTTCAGTCCAGCAAACATTGATGGATTAGTGGCAGCTACCATTTCAGCAGGCTTCACGAGTACAGTCGGATGTGATTCAGTGACCCTGTGAGGTTACGCTCTTGTCCCCATGCTATAGGACCGAGGAAAGGGAAGCCTAAAGACTTAGTCACCCAGCTGAGGCTGCTGGAGGAAGGACTGTAGCTCAGCCTGCCAGACTCGGAGGCCCAAGCTTGAGAGGACACTGTGGCCGCCTCAGTCAAAGGGAGACTCCCAGCTGAGGGTTGACAGTGGGAAAGTTGGGGTATGTCCGGGGAAAGCAGGGGAACCGTGTGTCTGAGCGAAGAGTAGGGGAGATGGGGCAGAAGCAGGGCTAGTGAGACCGGGTCGGCTGTGAATGACACGTGAGAAGAAGGGACCACTGGCTTTGACCTCCCGCTCAGCCCTCCCCAGCCCTGGGTCTGCTCAGCCCCACGCTGCTTCTGACCTCAGCACATCTCTGTTGTCCTGAGTCTGGACCGGAGGCCACCGGGCTGTGACCGGTGGCTTCTAGTCTCCAGCCCAAACACCGACCCGAGTGGCCCTCTGCACCTGCAAGAGAATGGGCATGAATGGGCACAAAGATTGGGGGACCCAGAGATTGCCCAACTGGGGGCGGGGCCTGCTGGGCCAGGGCAAGAGAAAAATGAGAGATCTGACCCGTGTGGCCTGAAAACACACCTTCTGAAGGTCAGCTTCTGCTGTCCAAACCATCCTCATGTAAGTAGCCCTGGGCAACGACTGTATAAATAAAAAGGACTCAGAAGATCGCAGCCGGGAGTTCAGGGTACACCAGGCCGGTCCCCACTGTCCGTGCCCTCCAGCCACCTGCTCATATGTTGGGGTTCAGGGCATGGAGGACCCGAAAAAGGCTGGGCCCCTCCTTTTCCCCAGGCCCCGGAGGAGGCTTCCTCTGGTGTTCTTTCCATCTTTCTCCAGCCTCCCCGCTAGCCAGCTCACCACGGGGAGTATCTCCCCCGGAGGACCCCAGAGGAGTGGGAGGGAACCCACAGACCCTCTGAGAGCAAAGGGGACTCGGTCTAGCTTCATCCCCTCCTCACCCATCCTCACTCCTCTCCTGCTCTTTCCAGGGTCAGCCAGGCACTCGAGGTTTCCCTGGATTTCCGGTAAGTAGGGAGGGCCCAGATGAGCCATGTCCCCAGTGACCCCTGGGCCTGGCTGGGTTAAACTTCATGTGGGGCCAGCCCTCAAGCTCCTCTTGACCTTCCAACTCTGGTCAGTAAGGACCCTTTCCTGCAGCCTCTCCCAGAGAGCCACTGAGGAGAGTAGCTGACACTCAGCCCAGAGTGCAAGACAGGACAGGGACAGTCATAGGGAAATGAAGGGACAGCAGGACAGGGACAGGCGGGGGAAGTCACAGGCTGGGTTAACCTCAGCAGGACACTGGAAGGTGGGACAGATGATGCACCTCAGGGAAGCAACCTCCGACCTGGTCTGGAGAGGAGACCCGCCTGCAGGAGGCGGTCAGGTGGCCATCTGGATGCCCGGTGACCCCTGCCCGAGGGGTCGAGGACAGGTTCTAAGAGGAGGGCAGGAAAGCAACTAGCTCTCCTTTTCCCCGGGCCTTGGTGCTAGCCCGCCCCAGGCTTTCTAGCAACACCAGGTTCACTTTCCACTCAGGGTAAGGAGGAGGAGGTAGGTCTGTGATCGCCATGGTGACTGTCATCCCTCAGGCTGTCCCTCGTGCCGGGTGCTGGCCAGGTGGCATTTCGTTCACTCCTCACAAAGACCCCTCATGGAAGACTCTATTATCCCCATGGTAGGATAGGAAACAGGCTTAAGCTTACCCATGGTCATACAACCAGTAAGTGGTCAAGCAGACACTTGAACTCCAACTTGGAGTCCAGAACCTGTGCGCCCTTAAACCCCGCCCCGGGCCGCCTCTTTGGCAGGAGACCTGTGCTGTTTGTCTTGACGCGGGGCCTCTTTCCCTTTCAGGGTCCCATTGGGCTCGATGGCAAACCGGTGAGTGGACCCTCTCGGGCTGTGAGCTCCTCTCCCTCGCTTGATCCAGGTCACTAACCCTGGGTCCTCAGTCCTTCTGCAAGACCCTTACTCGGTGGGAGAAACTCCAGAGAGAATGGATGTTCCTGGGGCGGGAAATCGTTGCCAATGTGAGGGGGGGAGGGGCCACTGGAATGAGCTGCCCCAGCCCCCAGTGGGCCTCCCCTGGGCACAAGTCCACGGCCGCCAAGCTGGGTTCTCGGCGTCTGGAGCAAGAACTACCCCTAGAAGCTGGTGTTTCTGAGGCGCCCTTCGAAGGGGCTGCGGTAGGGGGTGAGGCGGGGAGGCAGCTGGGAGGGAAGACGGGTGGAGAGCTCAAGCCGCTGACTTGAAGTGGAGCGTGGGCACTGGTCCACACCTGCTCCCCAGCACCACCAGGCAGCTGCCTGCGCCACCCTGTCTCCTCGGGTCTCCCACCCTGGTGGACCCCCCACACACCCATGTCCAGATGGAGTCTGTGTCCCCATCTGTAGCTCCTCTGTCTGTCCATTTTAATTCTTTGGGCTTGGGTCCCAGACCCAAATATTCATGGCGGAAGGGAGACCCCACCCCACTCCTCGGAAGGAGTGAGCCGGGGGAGAGCTGGACCCCTCTGATGTCCTCAGAGATGACAAGGGAAGGCAACGAGTGCCAAGCCCAGCCCCACGCACTCGTCTCGCCCCGGAGCCCAGCACCCCGCTATGAGGGCCTGGCCACCCACCTGGTCAGTTCCCCACTGCAGGCCAGAGCTGAGCACAGCGAGGTGTTTGGTGGTCTTTCCCACTCAGCCCCCAGGACCCGGCGTGCCTCCAAGCTGCCCTGGGTGTGTGCATGGGGCAGGGGCTCTTGAGGGGTTGCCAGCTGCTGAGTAAGACCCAGCAAAGGGGGACGGGCGGGTGACCACGCCTGAGCCAGCAGGTCCAGGACGGGGAGCAAGAGGACAGGTGAGGAGGAAAGACGTGTGCAAAATGAGCAGTGGGTGATGGAGGGGGCAGGGCGGGGGTTTCAGGGTGCAGTGTACCCGGCGCTCACACTCTTCTCCTTCCAGGGCCACCCCGGACCCAAAGGGGAGATGGTAAGACCCCAGCTTTCCTGCCTTCCCTTGAGGGGTGGGGGGTCAGCCTGGTTGCAGCCAAGTGCCGCCCTGCAAAGGGGGCCCACAGGGACCGTCAAGCGGCTGCCCCCACGGTCACTCCCCAGCTGTATACAACGAAACCCCTAGGTCCTCACATCAACGCAGGGAGGAGAGGTGGGCAGGGGGCTTCTCCACCTGAAAAATGAGGAAAAGGAGGTCCGGAGAGGCAGGTGCTCCCAAACTGCCACGCCTTTGCCTCAGGGCTGAATGTAAACTCGGGGGTGAGGGGGGTGGGGGGAGGAGCCCATCTAGCTCTTTTTCTGCAACCGGATTTCCTAGTGCTGGCCCTGCTGGAGGCTGCCCCAGGACTCCAAGCACTCCTGTCCCAGCTGGGCACAAAGCCGACTTGGAGAGTCAGACGGTTGTCCCCACCTTCCTCCCAGCCCCTTCCACATTCTGCAAGGCCTTGTAAAGGGATTTCCTGTCTCTACAGTCTCCCCCAGGCAGGCCACTCCTTCCAGAAGGGAGAACCTCCCCTTCTCCAGGGCCGCCCCCTCCAGGGGAGGGGGCCAGTTCTCCATGGAAGGGATGGGCCATTAAAAGTAGATGGGCCAGCCCAGAGCTGGGATGCTATCCAGCCTCCCCGGGTGGTCATCTCTATACTGGGAGGACCCCCCTCCTGCAGAAGGGCCTGGAATGTGCAGCATGGCAGGCTCCCCGCCTCCCTGTCCAGCCCGGCTCTGGTGCACGTCTTGCTCCAAGTGCAGGCATGAGGACACGCTCCGCTCACAACCGGGGTGCAGAGGTGGCTGACTTCGTGGATGGGAAAGGAGACCTGGCTTTCGCCCCAGCTCCCCCTAAATTGCACTGGACCTTTAGCAACTCAGCACCCTCTGGACTTCAGCCTATCCAGTTAACTCAGGCCCAGCTAACATTCCTTGAGGGTTTTCTATGTGGTGGGCACGGAGCTAAGTCCTATGCGTGTCTTATCTCCTTCATCCTCAGCAGAAGCCTGTGCTCCAGGTCCTACTAGTAGCCCCTTGACACGGTGGAAACTGAAGCTCAGAGAGTCTAAGTAACTTGCCTTAAGTCACACAGCTACGGAGCATCAGAAAGAGGATCCAAACCCAATTCTCTAATTCCTTCCCTCCACATTTTATTGCCTTTCTCCCTCCTTCTTTCCCTCTCACCTTCCCTATCTCCCCGCCTCCTGCCTTCCCTTAACACATTCTTACTGAGTATCTGCACTACGCTGGGCACTGTGCCAGGTAGCAGGGGTACAGACAGGAGTAAGAAAGACACTGTCCTTGCCATCCTGTAGCTCACCATCTAGCAGGGGAGCATGCAGTTAAACAATCAGACGCATAATTAACAAATGACCTTGGCAGTCGTTCTATAAAAAGGCCGTGCCAGTTAGCCTGAGAAACCCCAGCATAACAGCTCCTCACCCAGGCTGAGGGTCAGAGAGGCTTTCTGAGAAAGACGTGAACTGCGGCCCGAGGGATGAGGGTTTAACTGAGAGAAAAAGGAATGGGAAAGAGCATTCTGGAAATGGGAGAACAGCACATGCAAAGGCCTGAGGCAGGCAAGTCCTTAAAATAGCCACAGAAAAAGGGCAGTGAGGCTCTGGAGGCCGTGGTGTCCGGCCAGCTTTCCTGTCCATCACGGCCAGCCCCACTGCAGGTGCATGTCCTGTTGCCCCTCCCCTGTTCCAAGCATTGCTCAGCACATGTGGGAAGCCGTGGAGACCAAGGCAGGAACCCTTCCATGCTGCCATTGTTCCAGAGGCATTGGGGTTTAGATGCCAGGAGTTTGGGGTGCTTCCTCCCTCAACCCCTCCCTGCCACCCTCTTTCCCTTCCTAGTGGCCTGACACTAACCGTAACACAGTCCGTGGCAACCCAGAAGTAATAAGATGGTCAACTAGGCACTGTTCTGTAATCCTCGTAACGGCTTATTATCCCCACTGTACAAAAGGGGAGATCGAGGCACAGAGGGGTTGAGTATATTGCCCAAGGCTACACAGCTTCTAAATCACAGAGCTGGGATTGAGACCCATGTGGTGGGGTCTTACCACATTCCTTTCTGCTGCCAGAGCCCTTTGTCTTGAGGGAAAGGAACCCTTCTGTGGGGCACCTCCTCTGCCATCCCACTGCCCCACCCCACTGAACCACCCATGAGTCTCCCCTGTCTGTTTGGGGGACAGAACTAACTTGGGGGGGGGAAAGGGTGAGGTCATCCCAAGTCCCATGAGCCCACACCAGTGTAATAGATCCCCTGTCTGCCTCTTAGTCATCCATCAAAATCTGACAGGCCCCAGAACCATTAGGCTTCTGTTTGGCTTGGCACAGGGACCCGCACTATTAATTCAACACACTGTCTAGTGTAATGATCTTGGCCTGCTTATCATCTGTCTGTCTCCCACTCACCTCCATCCCCAGATGGTTTCCCCTCTGCTAGGCATCCAACATGGGGGGCTAGGGCTCACTCTCACATGCTTAGCCAGTGTCCTCACCTCAAAAGGGGATCACCCCTGCTCCACCCACCCCACAGGATCCCCCAGAACTGAATGTAAGGTATAGACAGGATCGGGGATCCCACAAGTGCCAGGAAGGAGAGCTGGGACTCTGAAGGCACTTCTTATCCCATTGCTCAGAGCTGCCCTAAGGGTGGGAGGATGTCATTAACACCAAGCGCTCCCGACAGTGCCCGGCACAGGGGAGGGGCCAAGCACCTTAGCGCACCACCTGTGACCCGTCTTCCGGGGGCAGCCGCTACTCAACTAGAGCTAATTGGTGCCGTGTGTTGTTGAACCTTGAAGTATTTAAGAGAAACTTGAAATCCAGATTTGTGTCGTACTCTCCTTGCTCTTAAATGTTGGCAATCCACTGAAATAAAACTGTGTGGTGTCAACGCAATACCTCTGGGGACCGCTGTTGTGCCAAGGCCACCATCAGGGACATCTGGATTGGAGGCTCCAAGGTCCTACAGCCCCAAACCTTTGTGTGGCTGTCCTCAGCCGCTGGCCCTCCCCTTCTCATCCCTTGCCTCTCTTTTTCATGAGAGGGGGCGGCCCGGTCACCTGCAGGCTGCTTCCCTGCCAGATGCGGCATGTTCTGTGGGCCTTATGCTGAACACCTGGTCAGCCGGATGGGCTGCGGCGCCCCATGGGTTGTCCCAAAGGCCACTTGTCCCCTCCCATGAACCTGCTGGGAATTTCCCAGTTTGTTGGTTGGTCCAGTTGACAAGTCGGGGGCAAGAGAGGCTCTTCTCCCACCCACATGAGCCCCTGCAGGAAGATCCCAAAGAGACGGGTCCAGCAGGTGGATCCTCAGGATGGTGGCTGGAGGGGACCTCAGGGCCCCAGAGGCTGAGACACTGCCTGTGGCTCCAGCCAAGTCTAGAAGCCCTGCCTTCTGAGCCCCAGCTCAGTTCGGAGAGCGTGGCGGAGTGTAAACAGCTGGACTTTTGCAGTCAGTGGACCCTAGCTCTCGTCCCAGCGCCCCCCACTCACTGAGCTGCAGGGCCCCGTCTCCATCACCTCGTTTGGGAGGTGGAGCTGACGTGAGCGTCTTCTCCGTGGGCCAGTGCGGGTGTGAGTTCAGCACGTCCTGAACACCAGCCTCGGAGCAGGTCCTCAAAGCACGAGGCGCGTGTCCTCCCCTCTTCCCTCCACACCAGCCTCAGGTCAGCTCCTGAGACAACCAGCTGAACCCTGTGTCCTCCTCAAAGGACAGGGGTCCACCCTGAACCCAGACTTCTTTCTCAGCCCTGCAAACTTGACAAGACACCCCAGAAGGAGCCCCAAGACCCCTTTTGTTCCTCTGAGGGGCCCAGAACATGGCTCAAGTCGCCAACCTCCTGCTTCCTCTCTTCACCAAAGGTTTCTCCAAAGCCCCCCGCATGTACCCCGAAGCCCTTCTGGCTCAGTGGGTTTCATGCTGAGGCAGTGCTGAGCAGAAGACAGAATGTGCCAGGGTCCCCCCTAGAGGCTTTGGACCTCTACTTCTTGGCTCCATGAGGAGATGGCCATGCGTGAGGCAGGACAGCCCACAACAGCAGAGCACCCCCTGAGGTGTCCATGCAGCCTCCTTCGCTGCTGGCCCATGAGGGGACGATGGAGGAACGAGGAGGATGGTGTCTTCTCTTTATCACGGCCCCGTGCGGGCACCAGTCACCTAGTCACACCCACAATGGAGGAGGAAGCTGAGACTTGCAGGGCGGGCCACACCACCTAGAACATCTCGGGCACAGGAGGACCAGGCCATGGGTGGTGGAGGCCAGCCTTCAGGACTCTGTGCATTAGCCCCGGGCCCAGCACGATCCCCACACCTCTGCCCCTGCCCGGCCTCGGTGCGCCCACTGACCTGTGTGTGTTTCCTCCCCGCAGGGCCTGACGGGTCCCCGAGGACAGCCGGTTGGTACCTCGCCCTCAAGTTCCCCAGCAGGGAGGCTTCGGGCCCCTGGGGCCTTAGCTTCACTTTCTAACTCTGCCATTTCTGTCTCTTCATAGGGACCTCAAGGACAAAAAGGAGAAAAGGTAAGCCTGATAGAGGTTTCCTAGAATTTTCATCACAGGAAACCGCCTCCCTAACAGTAGAAAGTGGTCCAGAGCGGTTATTTTCAAATGCCAGTGTTTCTCCCCAGAGCCAGGGCATCCTCGGTGGTGCCGCAGTAGGTGAGAGAGAAGAGGGAGGGTGCTCTGGAGGAAGGGTGGCTGGGAGCCTGGCCCTCCGCAGACTCCTTCTCTGCCCAGCATGCTTCCTGATGCACCGCCATGCGCCTCTAGGGTTTTGAGGTGTCCCTTTGTAAACCACTGGCCTGACTCCCTTCCTGGCCTCGTACATTCTCCATTCCCTTAAATTTCTAATGGAGACTCTGCTGGGCTGGCCTTGGGCGAACGGTACAGGGACCTGGCACCCCCACCTCAGAGAAAGCGTCTCCGAGGGCCCACAGCCCGCCTCCATGTCTGCACTTCCCATCCAGGGGCTCCTGCTCAGGGCCCTTGCGTGGGCCCACCCAGAGGGTCGACCTTTCTGGAAGCTACCTCCAGCCGGGCATGGAGCATAACTCCTGACTGCGGTCATGGCGAGTGGGATATGGCAGCAGAATCCTGTCCTGTGTTCCATGGGGCCGTGTCCAGGCATGCCTTCGGGGTTTCTTCTCTGCTGCCAGCCAGGGGAGAGGGAGGGAGTTAGTTCTCCTGCCTCAGACAGTTAAATCCAGGACCAGTGCAGGGCTGGTGGGTGGAGAGTACGTGTGGTCCTGAGGATGCTTCTGAGGCGCAATTTCCCCAGAGTGCCTAACGCCCTCTTCTCCTTCCCTCCGTTCCCCAGGGTCAGTGTGGAGAGTACCCACATCGGGTAAGTGAACCCCTAAAACTGACCCATCCCTGGGGCACCGCCCCCAGCTCAGCCTCATCCACCTGGGGCCCCCAGCACCCACAGAGGTTGGGGAACAGAAGCATACACCCCCTTCTGTACTCAGCAGTCACAGAGCAGCTGTGGGGGAGGGGGAGCCGGCCCCCAGGAGTGTGCCCGGTGGTCCGTGGCGTGCTTGTGCAGAGCTGGCCTCCAGCGCCCGTGTTCCCCCACCCGAGCGTGTCTCCGGGTGTTTGCGCCTGCGCTGGCCGGCATGCAAACCTTCCAGCGTGTGTGTGCATCTGGAACTCCGGGTGTCTGGCCCTGCGTCTCCTCTGCACATCCCCTCGCTGTAAGGCCGTGCAGCTATGTGAGTCTGTGGGTCTGACTCCCTGCCCGGCGTGCGTGTGTGACTGGGTGTGCATGTCTGGCTGCCTGCCCCGGCTGAATCAGAGGGACTTTTGGGTTAGTCATTGCTGCAGATGACCCAAACCTCAATGGTGGGAGATAACTGGGGGCTGGTTGTATCGATTCAAGGATAAAGTCTCTGCTTTGCCTTCTCCAAAACAGGGTGGGGATTTCTGAGCTGGGATGGTCTCCCGGTCACCCCCAGGCCCCAGCTCCTTCCTTTGCTTTGCGTTGTCCCCAGATATAGAGCCCAAAGCCTGCTGCAGTCCTACTAGGAAGCTGCAGATGTGGGCACCAGTCGTAAGGGGTCATTCTTGGGACAGGGAGGGCGAAGATGTGGGCCCTCCGGTGAGAGCCCCAGTGAGCTGGGACCAGAAACATGTCGCTCTCAGACCCTAGTATCTTTGTGTGCCCATCCCTGTGCCACGGGCCTCACTGTGCCCAGAAGCACACACAGGGTGTGGCTTCCCTGGCTGCCACCCCATCAGGCAAGGAGACCGAGGACGTGGAGACAAGTGCGAGTCAGGCTCAGAGTCAGCACGGCTCCGGAAAGCCACCGGGAGGCCTTTCTAGCAGTGCCCCGCCGCTCGGACTCTGATCCCTGGGTTCCCGGGCCAGGGAGAGGCTGCAGGGGGTCTTCACCACAAGCAGCTGGGGCAGGGGTTGAGGCCAAAGCCGGGCTCAGCCCCGGGCAGGGCGCGCCGGCCGGTAGCCGCACAGACAGCACAGTGAGCGGCGTGTGCTCTGGGGACGCAGGGGCCCTGGTGTTTCAGCCCGCCTGGTCCTGATACAATAACAGAAGGTCAGCTGTGTTGATTTGAAATGATGGACTCACAGGATTGTTATGTTACCCGAAAGAAAGACAGCATCCCCTGGCACAAAAGACAACACAACAGCAGACACGTAATTGGCAGTGTGTCATTGTCCATCCTTAGTGAATGTGTGTGTGTGGGGGGGGAGCGGGGAGGAAGAGAGCGAGAGAGCAGGGATAGAAGGCTCCAGAAGCACCTTGGCCACGGAGTGCAGCAAAGCTATGGCCGGCCACGGCAGGGTAGGGAACAAGTCAGGCAGGGGTGAGAACAGGTTTGGGTGCTCAGCTGTTGGACAGAGCAAGGCAGCGGGCACCCCCCTGTTGATCTGGAAGTGGGTAGGAAAGCAAGGGCGCATCTAGGGAGAGGGGCCTGTTGGTTTTCCCAGGGCTCTGTGGGAACGGTGTGGGTGGCAGGCCTCCAGGCTCACAGGATAACAGGAGATCCAGGCTGGTCCTTGCCTCTGCTCCAGCCTGCAGCATCCCAGGGAGGGAGGGAGAGGAGGGGTGGGGAGTGGAGGGACAGAGTACCCTGGGACAGAGAGCAAGGCACCTGGTATCTGTGGGCTCCAGCACTCATGCCCCGGTCACCCTGTCTCTGCCACCTCGGTCCCCTCCCACGCCAGGAGCATCTAAGCAGCACTCTTTCGGCTCTGCGCTCCAACCAGATCATTACCCTCAAGGTTTGTGGATTCCGGAAGGTCTCCGGGCCCCTCTCTGCTAAGAGACTCCCTGAACGCAGAGCCCAACATTGCACGTCCCCGGGCCCCACAGTGGGAGGTGGCAGGGCTCTCAGGGCAGCCAAGGCCCCTAAAGACAGCAGGGACCTGGAAAGGCCACAGTTGGGCTCCCAGTTCTCAGCCCAGGTGGCCCCCGGTTCTTAACACTCATCCCAGGGGCCACGTGTGAGTTAAAATGCTTTCAAAAGCAAGAGGTCAATTATACACCATCTTTGTTGTCACATGGGCTCTAACCACTTCCTAAAGCCGCAGGGCACTCAGCTTCCATTGGTAGAGAGACTGGAAGCAAGGAGAATTTCCAAAAATGAAAATCACATTAGATAATGTGATTGAACGTTGCCTCCCTCCCAAAAGTGGTTGAACATGCTGGAGACATCCTGGCCCAGCCTTTATTTTCCAAACCCACCAGCCCCAGTGGGAGACCTCAGCAGCACTTAGCTTGTGCTCACACTGGCCACACCCTCGGCCGGCTCAGCCCCCGGGAGCCCGACTTGGCACTGTCCTTGACCATCCTCCTCAGATTCGCTGACGCTAGCCTTTCTCGTTCAACCAAAAAAAGAACCCAGTGGTTGCCACACACCAGCCTGGCTTTGAGTACCAATTTAGCTGGTCCTGTGGCTCCCGACCAGAGCCTCTGCATCTGCTGCCCTCAGCCCGGCAGCCCCCGTCCTCAGCCAGGGACAAGCAGGGCCAGCAGTGCAATGGTGGGCTGCGCGTCAGGAGGCCACTCTCTGCCAGTCAGGGGGTGCTGCTGGCCGACACCCTCAGGGCCACACTCCACCTTCCGGGATGGTGTGCCATCCAAGGGCAAGCTCGGCGCTGCGCCCCCTCAAGCCGCGAGAGGGCGCCATCCACACCTTCCCTCCCTGTGCCTCATGCCTGCTAATCACTCTTCTCTCTTCCTCTCCTCCCCTCCCACTTGGCCACCCTGCCTTCCTGGCGACATTCGGCATCCTTCTGAACATCTGCGATCTTTGGCCTTTGCCCTCTGGCCTTCCAACTCATCTCTCTCCTCAGCTGCTGCCTCTCCTCAATTCAGTGCGACTGGCTCCGCCCCCAGTCATAAAAAGACGGACCTTCCAGGTAGACACCACCCCTTTGTCCAGACCACGTGTGGCGTCCCCAGGGGCTTGGCAGGTCTCCGGGCCCCGACGGGCCAGCTGGGACGGTAGACAAAGGCAGAACCCCACTCTACTTCAGTTCAAGTCAATTAGACAGAACGGGACCCGTGAATGTCACAGATGTGGACATACACAACCCCCGAGCCCAGGAGATCCACCAACACCACACACCCTTGCTCCTCAAAACAGCGACAGCCACCACTGAGTGGTGGGTGCCAGCCACTGGGCTGCGCCTTTGACAGGTCTGATTTCATTTCATTCTCTCAACTCAGGCACGATCATGCTTATTTCACAGATGAGGAGTCAAGGTTCAGAGACATGAAGGCGGTTGCCTGAGGTCACACACCCAGTAGATTGCAGGGCACCCAGCTTCTCGGACGCTTATGAGCTGTGGGGTTGGAGGCAAATTGCTTAACCTCTCTGTGCCTCCGCTTTTCCATTTGTAAAATGAGGAATTAACCATTCCTACTGCATAGGGTTATTGTGTGTGCAGAGCGCTTCGGATAGCTCCTGGCGTGGTTCCAGTGCTATTCGTAAATTGAGGCCCAGAGGAGTGAATTTGTGCCCAAGATCCCACAAACAGCGAGAGGCAGAATGGGAAGCCGGCAACCAGATCTTCAGACCCCACATTCGTGGCTCCCTCGGTTGGACCTACACCCTTTATATTTAGAAAAGGATTGCTTAGCACCTGATCACTTGTCGCCTGAGTTTGAGGAGTGAGGGAATTTGCAGAGGGAATGTAGCCCACACCCAACAAGTGTAATCATTGTGAGCAACTGCTTCCTTCTTCCTGCCTTACGCACCCAAGGAGGCTGGGATAGAACCAGGTTACAAATAACAGAAAACAAGAGACTGCAGAGCCAGGGATCCAGGCATAGGCATTGCAGCTGGATTCTAGGCCAGGCGGCCCACGGCTGCCACTTACACCCCCGGCCCTCCTTACGCTGTGCAGGGGTTACCCCCACGGTCGCGGGGATGCTGGAAAGGGCGGGGCTCTGAGATGTTCTCTGAAAGCCGGACAGCAGGGTCCAGAGCCACCATCTGGCCATACTCAGGAGCCCAGAGGCCAGCAGTTCAGGCTCCTGATTGAATGAGGCTGAAAAATCCCTCCAATTAACAGCTAAAAATACAGCAGGACACATGATGCATGCGCTACCCGAGCCTGCGTATCCCATTACAGCAGCCAGATCCTCGAGAGCCTCCATGTGCTCCCAACGCTGACTCCAAGCATGGCTCTTCAGGAGACCCCCTGGCAGCTCAGAGAAGCACCAGCCCCTGCCCCCGTCACCTGCCCCTACCTGTGTCAGACCCCATTCCAGAAGAGCTGTCCTTGCTTCTCAGGCTGGCCGTTCGCCTCAGCCCCCAGGAGCCGCCTCCTGGCCTTAGTTGCATTAGCCACCTCCTGGGCTCCAGGCGCTGCGGTAAGAATGCCACATGGATTATCTGGTGTAATGTCACACTGGCCACCCGGGGGTGCAGGGGCCGTCATCGTCATGCCCACCTTACGGATGAAGAAATTGAGAGGGTGCCCAGGATTGCATCCAGGCCCCTGCACGTTACTCCCTCCCTTTTCAAGAGCAAGGCGTGGGCGAGCCAGAACTTTCTGTGCTGCCCTGACCTGGTTTCCAAAGCAGAGAGGGAAGCATAGGGGCCCCTACTCTGCCTACTGCAGAGTCTGCCTGGAGATTAGGGTTTTTCTGCTGCTGGCCATCATGGGACATAAAAAGGCTTGCCCATTTCCTATCAATAAACCAATATTGTTTTACAGGCTCTGTAAGATGCTTAAACATTGAGTCTGACATTTGCTGAAAGAGGAAGCTTTATGAAATATGATGTTCTTAGCAGATGGTGTTGGAGGTCATTTCCAAAGTGCAGAAAGTTGGACAGTGAGCAGTTTTTTTTTTTTTTTTTCTGGGGGCTTATTTGGAATGAATAACAGTCTGGAGTTCCAGGTTTGGGTCCTGGCTCCCCACGGAATTCTCCACGTGACCTCGGTCAGGGAGCTCAACTTCTCTGAGCCTGTTTTCTCTTCTTTGGAATGGGACTCGTGACCCATTTCTGCCCCCGCCTCTTCCTCTGTGCCCTTGAGTGGCTTCTCAGAGGGTGCAGCAGGATGAAGCCCGGGCCCCAGCATGACCATGCTGGGTGCCATCTGCGCTAGGATGTCCCAGCCCAGCGAGGTTCTGGCAGGTGCTGCTGGAATCCCACAGTTCCCACTCTGAGATTGCTCACCCCTTGTTTCTACTCATCTTTTCCTCCCGTGGGGTTGCAGCAGGAATCCTCAGCCCCCTGTTCCTGTCACAGAGGGCTGCTGAGAGCGCCCCGAGAAGGCTAGCCGGCCTAAAGCTCCAGCCGGCCGTGTCCCCCTGCATCCCAGCCTGGAGCTCACACGCCTGCCAGGCTGTTCTGCTTTAGTCAGTCTGCAGGGATCGGCCCCTTCTCACAGGAGCTGAGCCCAGATGGTCCCTGGAGAGCTCACTTAGAAAATAACATGACTGCTTCGGTCTAGATCTAGGAGGACTCTGGTTGGCCCCCGGCCCCATGATGTGGGTCACATGGACCAGGCTCTCTCCTCCTCCTGAGGAAACACAATGCCACTCCTAGCTCCCTGGGCCCTTGGCCCATCCTGGACACAGGCACAGTGGGTGACGAGGGCTGGGCTCAGAGCAGCTGACTGAGGAGTGGGGGCAGGGCAGAAGAATACTAATTGAGACCCATGTAGGCATATGGCACTTGACAGTGTCAAAATCAGCCAAGCTCAGGGTTGCAGACTCAACTGTGCTCTGAGGCCAGGCACAGATGACGGAAGTGACAGCAGCAGGCCGCACGCAGAAAGGATGGGGGAGCGCGGGCTGAGGCACCTGGGGAACCCAGGCCAAGCCCGAAGGGTGTGACTGCCCGCGGGAACGTGGGCCCCAAGCGCCAGGGCTCCCAGTGTGACATCAGAAGCCCCCAGTCCAAATGTTTTACACAAGATCTCGTGCCCAGTGGTTTAGTGACCCACACCAACTTCTGTGGCCTCTGACCTAAGGACCCCCTATGACACTCAGGGCCAGAGAATCAGACAGCAGAAACAAGGGACTGCTGCTGTCGTTGAATGCCTGGGAGGCCCAGAGTAGACAGAGGATGTGACCGCCACACGGAGGGAGGGGCCGAGGCAGGCTGGGCTGAGGACCCCCTGGGCCAGACCCCCAGCATCTGAGTGGGCCGGGAGCGTGCTGACGGTCGGGCAGGGTCATCTCGCTCACTCCTCTGCCTCTGCCCCAGCAGGGCTCTTGCTCTGGGACCAGCTGCTTGTGCAGCAGGTCCTCTCTGGACAAACCCCCAACTCTTGGGGGCCTAGTGTCTTGGCCATCTCCTTGCTGCCACTGGTCCCTGCATGCGGTCATCACCACCACGCCACACCGCCTGCCCACCAGAGCCCACCACGGGGCCTTCACCGGGTGCATGGTACTGGGGCGGGAGCTGCTGCCCAGCCCCAGGGCTCTCCTCTAACTCTTGTTTCCACCAACATCAGGGTGAACAGGGCCAGGCCGGCATCCAAGGCCCGCCGGGGCCACCAGGCCCCCCTGGACCGAGCGGACCTCTGGGGCCCCCAGGACTGCCAGGGCCCATGGGGCCACCTGTACGTATCTTCTTTCTCTCTCTACCACCTCCTCTTCCAAGATCTGTCCCAAGAATTCTCTGGAAGCATCCAAATCTTACATCACTGATGAGAACCTGGGTCCCCACCCAACGGTGGAAACACCTTAGCAAGGCCACTGGACATGGGTGGCTCTTGCAAGAAGCTGCCCATCCCTGCCACACTCACCTGTTGTACTCTGGTTCTGAAAACCCAGCTCTGGGGCCAGGCCTCAACGGCAGCCATCGACTTCCAGGGAGGAAATCGCTAAGAGGCTGCCCCTTTTGTGGCTTTAGATTCCCAGGGGTGGAATTGCTGGGTCGTGCTGTGGGCCCAGGAGCCAACAGGTGCCCCCTCCAGGCAAGACAGCGCTCAGGCAGGAGTAGGTCAAGCCCAGGGTCCACCAAGCCCCACCTCTCCAAGCCCTGGCCAAGACCCCGCTCTCTCGACATATTTAGTGCAACTGAGCAGCCAGGCAGGCATCTGAAATGGGTTCTTTCAATCTGAGAGCCAAGACGAATGTCCTATGTTACTGAAGGGACAGGGTGAAGGACAAAGTCTGTCTAATAATGTTCCTTTCACATGATTGAAAAAGAACTGTTTTTGTTTCTTATGACAAAAGCATCATGCATGCATTGTGAAAAATTGGGAACACGGACAAAGAAAACATTTTAAATGATCTATTTTGCCATATCCAGAGTTCACCATCATTAACATTTTGGAGGGTCCTGCTATTTTTCTCCTTAGACTTGTCTGCTCGTAAACATTTTCCAGGTTGGTCACGTTCTGAGTAACGTCACAGTTTGTGTCCCATTATGTTTTTCACTTAACACCATAAAGCACACCCTTGCTTTGGGCCGGAGTCTCCCGTGAAATGAATTTTAGGGCTGTTGGGCCTATTTACGAGTAGTTAAAGAGTTCCCTCCTGTGATAGAGATCCCTGAACATAAATGCGTGTGTGCATTTCTGATGCTTTCGCTGCAATCGATTCCCAGCGATAGAATGGCTGGGTTGGCGGTGTCCCTGCCACTCATCAAGTACGGCCGCCCTTCTGTGTCGCTCGGCCTCACATCTGGGCCTCGCAGCTGCTCTAGCTGCCAATGCTGAGGCTCGGTGTAGGGCCCCTCTAGGCCAGCGGCAGCTCTGGCCACCCAGGGCACCCAGCGTGGCAGCTCAGCTCGGTGTGAAAACCTCACTTGCCTGCCCTCCTGCCCAGCTCAACCTCCACAATGAATTTTAAATATTTCTATGTTTTGGGACCCTGGGGAGAAAGACTAGTCTCACTGCCATGGGTTTGTAGATGGGAAAACGGAAAACCCGAAAGGAAGTGAAATTTAGGAAACTAAACCAAACCAAGCTGAGAGAATCCCCCCAAAATACCCAAAATCCACTTTTTCGCTGACCCCGGCCCCCCAAACACGTCGGGTTCCCACTCACTGAACCCAAGCCAGGTGGCTTTCTTTGTTAGGGTGTTTATAAAGAAAAAAACCAGGAAGCATGTTTTGAAATCCATGGAAACAGACCAGACTTGGGCATCTTGCTTTTCTCCAGCCTGTGTGTGCTGCCCAAACCTCCGCCCCAGACCGCGGTGGAGCCAGCCTGCCCTCGCCTCTCCCCTCGGGCTCCCGTAGGCCCGGGGCCCACACCACCTCCCCACGGCCGAGGGCTGTGGTCACAGCATCCTGGGCCGAAGGAGACAGAAGACTCCCCTGAAGGCTGGCAGGGCCAAAGGCAAAACCAAGGCTCTGCTGGGCAGGGTCGGCGTCCCAGGGAGGGGTCCCAATTAGGAGGTGGGTGGGTGGGCAGGGACGCGGACCAAACCACACTTGTCATTTTAACAGGCTGCCGCTGACCTATTTTCCAGTGGGTGAGCACAGCAGAGATGCCCACGGCGCCCACACTGGCTCCAAAGGGAGCTGTGCGCCTGTTGTCCCCACACACATTCCACAGGTTTCAGATACCGTTCCAGGATCCTCTAGCTCTGTTCTCTAGCACACCCACAGCTCATGAGCACTCCTCTGCCGCAAGCCTTCGCAGCAAACACGCCGACCTGTGCTGTTTGCCAGCAGATTCCATCTCCACTCACCTTGCTCTCGCTTCCACAGGGCTTACCCGGGCCTCCTGGACCGAAGGTGAGGGCCCTCCCGGGCGGTGCACTGAATGGGTGGGAGAGCTCTCTGCGGGCTCCTGAGTGAGCAGCTGAGAGTGACCTCCGTGAGAGATGGGTCACGCTTTGCTCACATCAAAGTGTCACCCTCCTCCTGGTAACAGCTTGGGTCCCACAGAGATTACACTTGTGTGCCCAGGCCCAGCCAGTACTCTGACCAGTATGGAGGCTGTGTTACCCCCTTCTGAGGAGCTTAGAGTCTGGCGGGAGACTCCAGGTTGATGCCCGGGGCACTGTCACAGCATCCCAATAAAAGAGGGTTTCCTACAGAGTCAGAACTGGAAGGGACCTTCGGGATCATCTGGTCTCTTGGGAGACCTTGTCTGGAAGCCCACGTGTCAAACCGACTCTCCCTCTGAAGCGGGGGGCCCTGGGGCTCGGGGGACCAGGAGCTGCAAAGCACTGACCCTGCCCAAGCATTTTGCACGTGTGGAGGCTGAGAGCCCTGGGGGCAAGTGACTCGTCCCGGTTCGGCAGAGAGTCAGCAGCAAAATTCAGAATCAAAAGCAAAATTCAGGTCTCCTGGGCCCCTGCCAGGTGGACCCTTTCCACCACGCCTCCGCCTCTGCAGGATGGGGACTTGTTGTGAAAAGAAGAGTCTCTGTTGGCTTCAGGGGAAGCAAGCTATTGTTCCAGGGAGGGCTGGAGGATTTACAGTCATCGAGAAGAGGAATGGCAATGTGAGGGCAAGAGAGCAAGCCAAAATGGGGCATTTGGGAAAATCTCACTAATTTTCTTCTCTTTGTTCCCCCAGGGAGACCCAGGGATCCAGGGCTACCACGGCCGGAAGGTAGGGAGGAGGGGGAGGGAAGGACCCTACGTCCCCGGTGGTAACCAAGTAGGGCCCCACCACGGCGCCAGCAGGGGCAGGACTTGGTCACGCACACGCATGTCTGCACACACGCTTGCCCAGCGTGAGCCTCACATCTGTGAGGTGGGCTGCACAGGAGTTTGTGTCTCCATCTGGGGAGGAGGAGGCTCAGAGGGGCAGGGCCTCAGGCTATCAGTGGCCCAGCCCGACCCCAGACCCAGGTGGGTCTCCCACCAACAACCTGCATCCCTGTGTCTCTACCTAGGCAGGCCAGGTTCTCACTGGCCCCCGAGGGCCTGGTAAATGGGAGCAGATTACCAGGGTCCGCCCTGGGCAGAGCTCCATGCTGAGCACGATGGGGGCTACAGGGGTGGGGGTCCCAGACCTTCTTTCTGACAACCTGCAGTCTGGAGAGACAGAAGGATTCCTGTACAGATAACCCTGGTGAAGGCAGATTGTGCTAAGCAATCATCACAAAGCATTGTGTGAATATGGATGGTGCGGGTTAGAGAGATTAATTCCGATTGGGAGGAGTCTGTGAAGTCTTCTGGGAGAAGACAGCCTGGGAGCTCCATCCTGGTGACTGGGTGGGTGTATCTGGGTGTGTATAGCTGTGTAACAAACCATCCCAAACTTCCTGGCTTAAAAGGATGATTTCTCTCTCATTCTGGTGCTGTGGATGGGCCATCTGGGAGTTCTGCTCCTCTGGGCTCACACATGCAGTTGTGTCAGATGATGGATAGAGAGGCCAAGCCGTCTCATCCACGTGTTGGGTGGCTGGTGCACGCCACGAGTGCAGGGGGGAGCCTCTCTTTTCCCTGCCATGGCCTCTCAGCCCCCGGTAGGCTACACAGCTGTTCTTACAGCACGGTAGGCCCAGGGCAGTGTTCAAACCTGCCAAGTCTGAGTGCGTGAGAGCTTTTCCAAAGCATCCAAGGCCATCACACTTTCTGACGTCCTATTGGTCAAAGCAAGTCACATGGCCAAGTCATGTGGCATCCGTGGGGAGCGGGGAAGGGACTCTGCCTCTGCTTCTCGTGGGAGGAATAGCAAAGCATTCATGGCCATTTTTACCCACCACTGTTGTCCCTCAACCAGCAAACCTGAAGGGACATGGCATTTTATTTTATTT